TGTCATGAGAGACTTGAGAAACTGCAAGTTGCTTCTAGCGTGGGAGAATTGGCCGTCTGCAAGGACGTTGCCCAGGGGACGACCAGATGTTTTGATGTTTTACCATCCTTGTGGGAGGCTTCTCTCATGAATATGATTTTGTGCATTGCCATGTCCTTGTCCCTGGCAGTTCAAAGACATACCTAGGTACATCAGTGTAGCAGCTGAAAGACCTAGCTGCCTTGCATGAATTCTGGGTTTTTTGTGTCAAGAGAGACTTGAGAAACTGCAAGTTGCTTCTAGTATGAGAAAACTGGCTGTCTGCAAGGATGCTGCCCAGGGGACGCCCAGATGTTTTGATGTTTTACTGTCCTTGTGGGAGGCTTCTGATATGAACACATGATTTTGTGCATTGGCATGTCTTTGTCCCTGACAGTTCAAAGGCATACCTAGGTAAATCAGTTTAGTAGCTGAGAGACCTAGCTGCCTTGCATGAATGCTGGGTTTGTTTGTTTTTTCCGTGTCAGGAGAGACTTGAGAAACTGCAAGTTGCTTCTAGTGTGGGAGAATTGGTCGTCTGCAAGGACGTTGCCCAGGGAGTGCCCGGATATTTTACCATCCTTGTGGGAGGCTTCTCTCATGTCAACACATGGGGAGCTGGAGCTGACAGAGGGAGCTCATCTGTGCTCTCCCCGGATTAGAAATTGTGACCTGTCAGTCTTCAGTCCTGCCAGCATAAGGGTTTAACCCACTGCGCCACTGAGGACTCCTTATAATGGACGGGCTAAAAAGCATTACAGCTGCATGCTCTGGTGTTCTGTTTGGTGGGTATGCTTCCAAACAAAAACTTTGCTAGGTCTTATTTTCAGGGGAGGCCTTTTATTTAGCGATTCAGCAAAACCTCTACTAGGTCTTATTTTCAGAGGATGCCTTATTTTCGGGGAAACATGGTAGGTTTGGATGATATGGAAAAACTAGTTTGGTAAAGTGTTCTTTTTAACGCTCAAAAACTTGGAATTTGCATCTGGAGTGGTACTGAATGGGTTTTTCCCAATCTTACGATTCTTCTCCACGGGTGCATTTTTGCAAAGATTGGCATCAAGACTCTCATTGCCACAAATGAGTCTCTGAAGAGCGGATTGTGGCAGACGGAAAAGGGAATGTGGGCTAGACTTGTTTTCTTTCAGAACCGAAATGCTTTGTCAAAAGGACTATTATATTCCTCGTTCAGCCTTGCGGTGGGGCTTTCACCATCACGACTACCCCACTTCGAGTGCCACCATTTACACCCACAAGTTTCCTTTCATATAATTTTTTAAAAATACATTTTCAACAGGGTTGCATTATGTGCTTTGTAAAGCAGACAGAAAGCGCTGGGCAGTGATTTAAACACTATTGTACAACCATCTCTTTGTTCTCGTCACAGGAGAACAATACTTGAAACTGAGCCCTTGCTTTTCAATTAGGGATTCTTGTTTAAAAAAATCAAGACAGTTTAAATGTGTGGATGTGTGTCTTTAACTCAGTCATACATACAGACCTACTGAAATCAATAGGAATTTAGTTCTAAATTTACACTAAAGTCTAATTCATTTTGATGGGTCACATCAAAGTACAGCCAAGAGAAGATCCAACCTTCTGTGAAAATATTAAAAACAGTTTGACAGGCATCCTCAGAGATTGTGAGGTCTGTTGGAAACTAGGCAAGTGAGGTTTATATATGTCCAGGGTGGGAAAAAGAACTCTTTGTCTGTTTGAGACAAATATGAATGTTGCAATTGGACACCTTGATTAGCATTGGATGGCCTTGCAGCTTCAAAGCCTGGCTGCTTCCTGCCTGGGGGAATCCTTTGTTGGGAGGTCTTAGCTGGCACTGATTGTTTCCTGTCTGCAATTCCACTGTTTTCTGAGTGTTGTTCTTTATTTACTGTCCTGATTTTAGGGCCAGCTAACACCTCCCAACAAAGGATTCCCCAATGCAGGAAGCAACCAGGTTTTGAAGCTCCGAGACTTTTCAATGCGATAGCCAAATAAATATTAGTTTGGAAAAGATTAAAAAAAAACAACAGAATGGTTGGCTCCCCATCTCCACAGATTCTGCATCCACAAGAGTATATCATCTGTTGGAAATAGCAACCTTCTCAAGCCTCCATTAGTTATTTGTTATGTATATAATTCAGATTGCTTACTATATTATACTATATTATATATGTGCGTACTGGTTTGCAGTTTTCTTTTGGCTCTTTGTTGTGGGAGGTGCTGCAGACCATGGGATCAGGTCTGGGTTTGTTCAGGACTCAGACTCCATTTTAGAAACAATTTTGCTTCAGACTTCAGCAGGAACAGTACAGGAACTACTTTAAATGTATTTGTACATCTAATTGATAAGCAAAATACCTGTATTTTGAATCCATGAAGCTTGTGAGTAAACCAACTATGTTACTTTTGAAGAAGTCTACTTATTTTTGTCTCTTGAGGGCATGATTTAAAGGCAAATACATTTTTAAGGGAATGTAGATGCTTTTTGGGCAACTAAAAGAACACTTCTGAAACGCTGAAACTTCTGAAACACACACACATAAACACTATGGCATATCTTTGTCCCTAGCCACTCAAAGACATATCTAGGTGCATCAGTTTAACAGCTGAGAAACCTAATTGCCGTGCATGAATACCATTTGCCCAAATGTTTATGGCTCTAACATGTCATGCTTTTACCAAGAGGTTATGGCAAGGTGGCCAATTGCAACATTCACACTTGCCTCCAACAGACAAGAGTTCTTTCTCCCATTCAGGACGTTCCACGGATATATAAACCCCACTTGCCCAGTTTCCAACAGTCCCCACAGCCTCTGAGGATGCCTGCTATAGATGTGGGTGAAACGTCAGGAGAGAATGCTTCTGGAATATGGCCACACAACTCACAGCAACCCATTAAAAACAGATTGGACCCTACCTTGACTGAAACTTCCATCTAACTTCATCTTAATTTTTTTTAATTTAAGTGGGTAGAGACAACCTTCTCCTTTTAATGTATTTTAAAGTCAGTTTTCAACACACACGAACTTATCCTGAATATTTATTTCTTAAGCAATCTGGGTATTGGTTTTCCTGCTTTGCCGTCACTGTGAAAGCAATAAAAAGCAAATGAACACTTCTAACTTAACTTAATTGAGATATTTCTCATATTTTTCTTCATACAAATCCCTCCTCGTTTATTTACACCTGATTGAAGAGCCCTTGTGCAAAAATCAACTTCATTGGCTGCGCTTTTAAAAAAATAATCTACAAAAGGTTTCGTCAATAGAAAGTCAAAATATCTTCCGCATTGCAATCGTCTGCATTCACTTCATAGTAAAGTCCACTCAATAGAGTGGAATTTACCTCCGAATAGAAATGCATAGGATATCAATCTGTTAAAAACCTTATTTCTCAGCAACCACCAAAAGCAGTTCCAGTGCAATTACAAATTTTATATAATTTTCAGCCTTTGAATGATTTGGATTTCAAGAAACACTAATTCAAGCAGACGGTGCTGCTTGTCTGCGTCGAGGCATTACGCCACAAGACTGGGGTTCAGCCAATTCCGTCACTGCCTTTAAGGGTTACTGTGACTTTAAGGGTTACATTTACCTCCCAACAGAGAGAAGATTGGCTTCCTTCGGTTTTCACAGTTTTCACACTATCCCCGTAGAGTCCGGAACATGTCTCATCTCCATCCCTCCCCTCCTCCTTTTGTTTGAAGAACGTCTTCTGAAATGTCAAGTGCATGTACTTCTCACACCTCCCATCCAAGCTGGAATTCCAATGCCAAATGAACCAGAAACCTGCCAGAGACTGTGAGGAAGGAGAAGGAAGGAGAAGAGAAGGACAAGGAAGAAGGAGGAGAAGAACAACAACAGGTTTAAATCAGAAACACGTCAGAGACAGCAGGGAAGGAGAAGGAGGAAGAACTGCGAGGAGAGGATGAGAGGAAGAGAAGGAGGAGGGTTGGACCAATATCTATCAGGCACAGTTGTGGATGGAGAGAAAATAGGAAAAAGGAGAAGAGGAGGAACAGCAGAAGAAGAGAAATGGGTTGAATCAAAAACTTGCCAAAAACCACAAGGAAGGAGAAGAAAGAAGACTAGGAGGAGGAGACAACAGAAGGAAAAATAGGAGGAGGAACAGCAGAAGAAATGAGTTGAACTAAAAACTTGCCAGAAGCCATGAGGAAGGAGAAAGAAGAAGACTAGAAGGAGGAGGACAAGCAGAAAGAAGACTAGGAGAAGGAGGACCAGCAGAAGAAATGAGATGAACCAAAAACTTGCCATAAACCATGAGGAAGGAGAAGAAGACTCAGAGAAGGAGGACCAGCAGAAGAAATGAGTTGAATCAAAAACGTGCCAGAAACCATGAGAAAGGAGAAGACGACTAGGAGAAGAAGGATCAGCAGAAGAAATGAGTTGAACCAAAAAACTTGCCAGAAACCATAAGGAAGGAGAAGAAAGAAAACTAGAAGAAGGAGGACCAGCAGACAAAATGAGCTGAACCAAAAACTTGCCAGAAACCATGAGGAAGAAGAAGAAAGGTGACTAGGAGAAGGAGGAACAGCAGACAAAATGAATTGAACCAAAAACTTGCCACAAACCACAAGGAAGGAGAAGAAAGAAGACGAGAAGAAGGAGGACCAGCAGAAGAGAAGTGAATTGAACCAAAAACCTGCCAGAAACCACAAGGAAGGAGAAGTAAGAAGACTAGGAGGAGGGGGAACAGCAGAGAGAAGAACACAAAAAGGAGGACCAGCAGAAGAAATGAGTTGAGCCAAAAACTTGCCAGAAACCATGAGGAAGGAGAAGAAAGAAGACTAGGAGGAGGCAGAACAGCAAAAGGAAGACTAGGAGTAGGACCAGCAGAAGAAAATAGTTGAACCAAAAGCTTGCCAGAAACTATGAGGAAAGAGAAGGAAGAAGACTAGAAGGAGGAGGAACAGCAGAAGAAATGAGTTGAGCCAAAAGCTTGCCAGAAACCACGAGGAAGGAGAAGGAAGAAGACTAGGAGAAGGAGGAACAGCAGAAGAGAAGCGAGTTGAACCAAAAACCTGCCAGAAACCATGAGGGAGAAGGCAGAAGACTAGGAGAAGGAGAAACAGCAGAAAAAGAGAAATGAGTTGAAACAAAAACCTTCCAGGAAGGAAGAAAAAGAAGAGGAGAGAGGCGAAAAAGGAGAAACAAAGCTGAAATAAAGACCAGTCAGAGACAACTCTGAAGGAGCAAGAAGAGGAGCAGGAAGAGGAGAAACTTGGTTGAACCAAAGACTCATCAGAGAAAGCTCTGAAGGAGAAGGAAAAAGAGAGATAGAAGAGAAAAATGGTTTGATTCCCAAATCCTTTCCACTTCTCTAATTGCACCAAATTATAGAGTGATCCCAGATGAGAATCATTTTCATTCCCTGTCGTAATATTATTTCCCTATTTGGCCAAATGCTATTCACTGACCTGCAGTGCTAAAAAAGGGAGATAGCCTCAAGGTCTCAGGTAGACCTTTGCCTTGATCAAGTAGAAAAGCATCTTCATGCTGCCCCACTTCCTTAACTGCCAGGCAACTATGGCTGAATTTGAAGGCGCATTGATACCAGTCGTTTAGAGAGACAAAGTGTGTGTCTTCTTCCAAGCTTCTTCTTTGGGTTTGTAAAACCAACTGGAGGCTCCCGGCTGCTTTTTTGACCCCCAGTCTTGATCAGATATTTGGATGAGCCCAAATACAGTCTGAAAGAAAGACCAGGCTCCATGTTCACTCTAAGAGAGTGGTTCTCAACCTGTGGCTCCCCAGATGTTTTGGCCTTCAACTTCCAGAAATCCTAACCATTGGTAAACTGGCTGGGATTTGTGGGAGTTGTAGGCCAAAAACATCTGGGGACCCACAGGTTGAGAAGAACTGTGCAAAGATTTTTCTTCAAGCTCTTCTTGACCATATTTGGTCACATCTACATACCTGATCAGTGACTTGGGGAGGATGTTGCATTAGGTATTTTGGTGTCCCCGGGTAACACATACCTCCTTCCACAATGCTCTCAAAACTGTATATACTGCCATGACCAGCTATTACACCAATGGAGATCAACAACATACAGCTTGTTTGTTTTGCAAAGGGGCCTCTTTGGGGAAAAGACAACGGGGATTGGCGTTCAGAAGCCGATCCATTCTTGTTGTTGCACCTTTGATGCTTGTGGTAGTGTATATACTGCCATGGCTAGCCATTACATCAATGGAGATCAACAACAGGATGCTAGTTTGTTTGTTTTGCAAAGTGGCCTCTTTGGGGAAAAGACGATAGGGATTGGCTTTCCCAATCCCTGGTCCTCTCTTGATGTTGCACACTTGTTTCTGAACGAGGGCATTATGCAAACAGGTATTACATACCTCCTTCCACAATGTCCCCAGAAACTATATATACTGCCATAACCAAATGGAAATCACCAACATGATGTTAGCTCATATCTTTCCTTTGCAGATGGGCGTTTTTTGGAGAAAGACGTCAGGAATTGGCTCTTGGAAATTCATCCATTCTTCTTGTCGTTTGGAGGGAAGTTCTTAAAAGGCAGCAATCCAGTGTTGGACTGAGGAGCCAAGCCAGCTCCGATGGCACAGAAGGCGTCTCATGTCAAAAGGGGTTCGTCGTCGGCATCCGAGTTAGCGGCGGTATTGACGCTTTCAAGCCATGGTTCAGTGAGCGGCACCAGGAGCACGTCGTCCTCCTCCTCGGGGGACGGGGGGAGGCTCTGTGGGTCGCCTCCCTCTGCCGAATTTGGGGCCACGGGGGAGAAGAGCCGCACCCGGAGGTTGTGCATCATTCCCGAGAGGCGTGGAGTGGGAGGGCGAGGGGTCGGGGGGTCCTGCGCAGGTTCGGCCAGACAGAGCGGGACTTTCTGAGGAAGAGGCGGCGCTTGTTCGTCGGTCTGACCAGAAACCTCACCTCCGGGGGACGGCTCAGGTGCGTTGTCGGGGACGGAGGGTGACGCCGTTGTGGCCGTGGTGGTGGCAGAGGAAGATGGGGCTGATCGGGGTAGCCACCCCAATCGGCGCATGCGCCTCACCACACGGCGCACAAAGCGGTTGCGATGCTGGTGGCGTCCTGCATTGGTGGCACTCGCCGTGGTTGGCTCACGACGTAACAAATGGAGAAGAGAGCGCAAGTTCCCCATCATCGAATTCTGTAATGAGGGCAAAGAGGAGGGAATGAGAACAGACATAGAATAAATGCTTGGGAGCAGGCATGGGCAAACTTCAGCCCTCCAGGTGTTTTGGACGTCATCTCCCACAATTCCTAACAGCCGGAATTGTAGGAGCTGACGTCCAAAACACCTGGAGGGCCTGTCAGAAATATTAAAAATTAACTAGGTATTTTTTATTACAAAAATATGAGTCAGGCACTGAAAGAGTTAGTAGGCTGAAGCTAGTGTTGCCCTGAGAAGAGTGAGTAGGCCAAAGTTCCGTTTCCCACAGCAGGGAATGGTGTTTTTCATACTGAAACTAGCCAGGTGCAAATTGACTCGGAAAAGGAGGACACTTCTCAGCCTGATAGTAGGCAGGAAGGCAATCAGGCGGACACTAACGAGCAGCCTGACCTTGATGAAATGGGAATCTGAGATTGGGCTGACCATTTGGAATTCAGAATTCGAAGGAGTGTGAGAATAGCCAACAAGAAGGAGGTCAGAGGCCAAAGAAATGCTTTCATGTATTGCAAAGGGTATTAAGCAGTTGTTTGAAAACAAACCTTTGTCAGAGCAACTTCTCGCTCAACCAAGCAGCTTGTGCTCATTTTCCTGTGTCCAGCATCTTGGGATTTTGTCATGTTCTCATGGGACTTTGTTTCATTGATGCCGTTTGGAATTCTGCTTTTCAGTGCTATGTTTTATTGATCTTTGGAACACTATTTGCTTTTTAAACTTTTCATCTTTACCTTTTAATAAACTACAAAGACTTCAGTCTGTGTGCAGTTCTGGTGATTTCAGCAAGGTGAATGTATTCTGAGGTGCAACACTAGTCCCCAAGCTAGTATTTAAATAATTGAAAGGCTGTCACAATGTGGAGAAGGCAAGCTGATGGCCAACCCAGTTGAAGGCCAAAACATCTGGGGACACACAGGTTGAGAGCCACTGAGCTAAAAGAACATAGGGGAAATTGGGGAGAGGAATGGTCTAACAGACGAAAAGGGAAGAATAGAAATGGGCAATCCTTTTCCTCTTGAAAAAAGAAGTACACAAGAGATGTGCCTTACCTGACTTGGGTTCTCAGTTGGGAAGCCATCAACAGGTGGGATGGCCCCCCGAGCGATGAGTTGCCCATACGAAGGTGGTGCTTGGCGCTGTATAAGTTCTGCTTCCATTCGTGACATGGGGGCTAATATACTGCAGAAAGAAAGAGATTCAGTGAGAAATACAGTCAGTGACTAGGAGAACTCGAATCCGCCCCTTTTATGACACACCCATATCTAACAAAGCCTCTGACAAAAAAAGCTTATGTTTACAAAGTGTTTAATTCTCCCTTTTCCTTCTTATCCCTTGTCTAGCTTTTGTAGCAGCATTAATATGGAAAATATGAGGAAGGAGAGATGGGGAAACAAAACACTTTGAATCTGCAATAAAACTTGGTTTGGGAAACTATTCAACTCTAGGTCATCCTACTACAATGCCTAGGAGTGCACCTGGGCACCACAATTCAAGCATTATCTATTTACAGCAGTGTTTCTCAACCTGGGGGTCGGGACCCCGGCGGGGGTTGTGAGGGGGTGTCAGAGGGGTCGCCAAAGACCATTCGAAAACACAGTATTTTCTGTTGGTCATGGGGTTCTGTGTGGGAGGTATGGCCCAATTCTATGGTTGGTGGGGTTCAGAATGCTCTTTGTAGGTGAACTATAAATCCCAGAAACTACAACTCCCAAATGTCAAGGTCTATTTTCCCCAAACTCCACCACTGTTCACATTTGGCCATATTGAGTATCTGTGCCAAGTTTGGTCCAAATCCATCATTGTTTGAGTCCACAGTGCTCTCTGGACATAGATGAACTACAACTCCAAAACTCAAGATCGGTGCCCACCATATCCTTCCAGTATTTTCTGTTGGTCATGGGAGTTCTGTGTGCTAAAAGTTTGGTTCAATTCAATCGTTGGTAGAATTCAGAATGCTCTTTGATTACAGGTTAACTATAAATCCCAGCAATTACAGCTCCCAAATGACAAGATCAACCCCCCCCCCAAACCCCACCAGTACTCAAATTTGGATGTATTGGGTATTTGTGCCAAATTTGGTCCAGTGAATGAAAATACATCTGGCATATCAGGTATTTGCATTATGATTCATAACAGTAGCAATATTACAGTTATGAAGTTGCAACGAAAATAATGTTATGGTTGGGGGTCACCACAACATGAGGAACTATATTAAGGGGTCACGGCATTAGGAAGGTTGAGAACCACTGATTTACTGTATTTATACCCCACCCTTCTCACCCCAAAGTGGACTCAGAGCGGCTTACAGAACACACATACGACAAACATTCAATGCCGATTATACAGTTAACAAGGACAGGCAACACAAACAGAGGTAAAGGCTGTTTTCCCATCTTATTTCCGGCACCTTGGAGGCTGTGCTCGACTCTGGCCATGGGGGGTGCTGTCGTTCCATCTTCCATGCCAAGGAGCTTTCCTCCAATTAATGTCCTTTATTACCTCCCCATTAAAAGCAGTACCTATTTTATCTACTCACATTTCTGCTTTTGACTTGCTAGGTGGGCAGGTGAGCTAGGGCTAACGGTGGGTGGTCACCCCAACCTGGGCTTGAAATACTGACCTCTTGATCAGCAGGATTTTTTTTTGCAGTACAGCGCTTTAGCCTGCTGTGCTAAGCCCTTGTCAAGGATATTGACAAGGTGGATCACATCCAGAGAAGGGTGACCAAAATGATCAAAGGATTGAAAGCCAAGTCCTATGAGGAGTGGCTTAGGGAGATGGGTTCGTTTAGCTTGATAGCCATATTTAAATAATTGAAAGGCTGTCACACTGGGAGGGGGCAAGCTTGTTTTCTGTTGGCATAGACACTGAGAACTGGGAAGCCCTGGCCTGTGCGTGCTCCAGCTGGAGATCAGCTGTGACCAGCAGTGCTGCAGAATGTGAAGAGGCACGAATAGAGGGCGAAAGAGAGAAACGTGCCAAGAGGAAGGCGCCTCAAGCCAACCCCAACCGGGACCGTCTTCCACCTGGAAACCAATACCCTCACTGCGGGAGACGATGCAGATCAAGAATAGGGCTCCATAGTTACCTACGGACTCACCCTGGAGGATTATCCTACTTGGACAATGAGGGATCGCCTAAGTAAGTAAATAAATTAGCTGCTCTAGAGATCAAGGAGAAATTGATTCAAATCTGGGAAAAGAAATTCCACCTAAACTTAGGAAGAACTTCCTGACATTAAAAGCTATTTGACAATGGATTTGCTTCCTTGCAGGGTGGTCGAGTCTCCATTTTTAAAAAAAAGCATGCGGGGAATGCGGAAGTACTTCATCAGTGTCGCAGATGGACGATGAAAGCGACAGCTCCCCTGGCAGTCAGAAAAAGTTAAATAGCCTCTGTGATCTAGGTCTGTATATGTTGTATGTCAAAATTGGCATTGAATGTTTGCCATATATGTGTACACTGTAATCCGCCCTGAGTCCCCTGCGGGGTGAGAAGGGCAGAATATGAAAGCTGTAAATAAATAAATAAATTTTCTGGAGGTTTTAAAGCAGAGGCTGAATGGCCATCTGTCAGGAGGGCTTTGTTTGAGTTTTCCTGCCTGGCAGAAGGGGTTGGACTTGATGGCACTTGGGATCTCTTCCAACTCTATGATTCTATAATTCTAAACTAATTCAACACACATATACATATACATATGCATTTTGCCAATGGCTAGTCATAGAAAATGTTGAAGAATTGTGCTGCAACAACTTCCATTGCTTTGTAGTGGTCTGATTGTTTTTTCCTGCATAGAATCATGGAATCAAAGAGTTGGAAGAGACTTCATGGGCCATCCAGTCCAACCCTCTGCCAAGAAGCAGGAATATTGCATTCAAATCACCCCTGACAGATGGCCATCCAGTCTCTGTTTAAAAGCCTCCAAAGAAGGAGCCTCCACCACACTCCGGGGCAGAGAGTTCCACGGCTGAATGGCTCTCACAGTCACTAAGTTCTTCCTCATGTTCAGATGGAATCTCCTCTCTTGTAGTTTGAAGCCATTATTCCATTGCGTCCTAGTCTCCAAGGAAGCAGAAAACAAGCTTGCTCCCTCCTCCCTGTGGCTTCCTCTCACATATTTATACATGGCTATCATATCTCCCCTCAGCCTTCTCTTCTTCAGGCTAAACATGCCCAGCTCCTTAAGCCGCTCCTCATAGGGCTTGTTCTCCAGACCCTTGATAGCTGGGAATTGGACTGGATGGCCCTTGTGGTCTCTTCCAACTTTATGAATCTACACTGTAAAATTAATGCAGTTTGATGTCACTTTAGCGCCTCTAGTATATTTTGTTTCCAACACTGTCCTGTTTGCCTGCATAGCAACACATCTGCTTATGTGACCCCTCAGTCCCCAAAGATGCTCCTCACCCGAACTCATGGCTGCGGAGGGCATAAAGTCGGCAGGTGCACCCCAGAGCTATCACCAAGAGAAGACCGCACACCAGGCTGCCAATGACGGTGGCCGTCACCACTTTGCGCGGGAGGACATAGGTGCAATCTGACTCGTCGGAGGCGTCGATGCAGTCTGCTTGTCCATCGCAGACCCAGCTCTCGTAGATGCAGCGCCCATCATGGCAGCGGAAGTTGCCTGGCTGGCAGCTGTAGCAGTGCCGCTCATCTGCAGCGTCAGCACAAAAGGTCTGGTAGTTGCAGCGGTCAGCGGGGCCGTAGCAGACGGCACCCCCAATCCCTTGCCCACCGCAGGCGTACTGTCCAGGTGGGCATCCGCTGCAGCTTTCTTCATCAGCCCCATTGGCACAATTCCATATTCCATCGCATCGCTCTGCGACGCTGTAGCAGGTTGCCCCTTCACCATCTCCGCCACCACAGGGGAAGTCCCATGGCACGCAAAAGCCCCACACATGGTAAGTAGCATTGAAGCCACGGAAGGTTGTTCCTACTGGCGCATGATATGTGACCCATGCTTGGCTGGATGGCGAGTCCACCGTGACCACCTTGTTATTACTGGTGTAATCCAAATTACGCAACAAGCGGGGGCTCTGGGCAGCTCCGGGAACCCCCTCGTAAACGTGGAGGGAATCCTTGACGTTTAATTCGAGGAATGTGAAGCGGATGCTCAGCGGGCGGCTGTCGTGGGCATCAAGGGTCCATTGGCAATTGGCTTCCCCCAGGTAAGCGTCAGAGTTAAGGCCCGGTGAAAAGAAGACCCCGTAGAAACTGTCCAAGGTATAATTGCATTGGACCGGAGGCGGGACTGTATCAGAAAGAGAAGAAGGGCAGAAGCATTCTTTATTGTCTACTAAAATACTTATATCCTGCTTTCTATCTAAAGATCTTAAGCGTGGCAGACAATAACATTAACATTTTAAAATTATTTTAAAACACTAAATATCAGTGTAATGTCAATATATATTATACAAGTTGGAAATGTCCATGCTGCTAGCTGTGAAAGAGTTAATTTGTGGAACATTATGAAGCATGCGTGGAACAGACAAGTATGTTGCAATAGACTAGAATTAATGAGATTGCTTTTTTTGTTGTTGTTGTGTCAGGAGCGACTTGAGAAACTGCAAGTTGCTTCTGGTGTGAGAGAATTGGCCGTCTCCAAGGATGTTGCCCAGGGGATGCCCAGATGATTTGATGTTTTTATCATCCTTGTGGGAGGCTTCTCTCATGTCCCCGCATGAGGAGCTGGAGCTGATAGAGGGAGCTCATCTGCCTCTCCCCGGATTCAAACCTGTGACCTGTCGGTCTTCAGTCCTGCCGGCACAGGGGTTTAACCCACTACGCCACCAAGGGCTCCTTTTTAATTAATGAGCTGATAACAGTAGGGTATAAATATAGCAGACCTCCTTTGTTCCATCTCTTTGCTCTTCTCTCTTGCTAACGAGTAAGTGTTATTGCAATGAATGAAACATAAATAATATGCTGTCACGCGCTGGGCCTATAATTGTCTTTTGAACAGGACATGCTCTTTGTGCCCAGCGGGAAGCCGGGTTGCCTTGGCTGAGAGGCCCTAAGGATTTTCCTATACAAAAGTCTTTAGATGCTTGAAAAGTTTAACAAAGTCCTTTATTATTGCTTAGATCTTCAACAATTTAAACAAACACTTCTCAGATCTCCAACAAGTCAAACAAATGCTTCTTAACTTGCCCAAATGGACAGGTAACTGGATTCTTTTCTTTAACAAGGAAAACACTTTTTAACCCCTCCCAGGCAATCTACTTTCTATGCTTGCTGTTGTGGGATCTACTCCTGGCTCCAAGTGCTTCTGGTTACCCGAATAGACCTACTGGCCAAGGTTTTGTAGATTCTCCAGCTGGAGTTCTTTTGGATTTTTTCCACGAAAGATGTGGAGCTGTTTCCCCTGGATGCTGTGAGAAACGAAGCTTGTCTAGAGATGGAGCTGATCCACGTCCTTTAGCTAAGCTTTCCACTATAAGACTGAACTAAAAATGGTTCCCTTTCCCTCCCAGAGCCCTGGAAAAAGGGGCGGAACCAAAACTTAACAATGATAGACAGGTCATTGGCCCTATAATTGCAAACCAAGGGAAGCCACCTTACTGCAAAATGCATGAAACCTTGGAATATATGCAAGTAGCAATAGAAAGAAAATGAAGCTGAAGCTCCTGGTACAGCCGTACCAGCACAATGGGACACCCTTTCATCAGGTGCTCTGCTATGGCTGACTTATCTGGTTGAAATAGTCTGCAGTGCCTTTCATGTTGAACCAACCTGGACACAGCATTTTATTTGAGAACACAGAAATGCTGGACCACTCTCACAAGCACCATGTCAGACTACACAGAGAAGCCATTAAAATACACAAGCATGTGGACAATTTCAACAGAAAGGAGGAAACCATGAAAATGAACAAAGTCTGCCTACCAGTATTTAAAAAACTCTAAAATTACAACAGCACAACAACAGAGAGGAAACAAACAAGGACATCTAATCACCTCTCAACAAACGTTTGCTCCAGGCATTGTCAGGCCATCAAATGCTTTGTCCCACCCTGGTCAATCCACAGAATTATAAACCCTTTTTCCTAGTTCCAACAGACCTCACTCTGAGGATGCTTGCCATACATGCAGGCGAAACGTCAGGAGAGAATGTCTCTAGACCATGGCCATATAGCCTGAAAAAACCTACAACAACCCAGTGATTCCGGCCATGAAAGCCTTCAACAATACATTATTATTATTATTATTATTATTATTATTATTATTATTATTTCCCTTCTTCTAATTCTGCCCTTGTCATATCAGATCTCTGAATTATACTCTTTTGTACCTTTCTGATACTTGAACAGAAACCCATCTTGCGACAGAAACTTCCAGCTATAGGTGAGGGTCACGTTGCCCCCTTTTATCTCGAGGGGCTCAGGGTTTTTGTAGCCACACAATTTCCCGGGAGGTTGGAAGGGCGTCTGAACAGTAAGCACACCTGAGCCACAGGGGACATGGAAGCGTTGGAACCTGGGGAAGCAAAAGAGAAACGGACAATGGCTGAGTTTGGTTTCTATGCAACCCATCCAAAAAACTCTTTGGGGCAGATAGCGTGCGTTGGTTCCCAGAGAAAATAGTGGGAAGTGGTGATGGAGATAGTAAACACCCACTTGACACAATAGCGTTTGATAAGAACTAGGCCGGACTGGAGCAGATCACACTTTCTTCAAAGGGAAGGTAGAGGAGACGGGTATCTTTTCCATCTCACCTGATATAGAAGGTATCCTCTGGTTCGCCCACAATGACCCAAGTGCAGCTACTATACGGCGTCCCTAGGAAAAGAGGACTGCGGATCAAGCCTTGGGGTTCTCTCCGGATATCAGGGTAGCCTTGGCAGACTTCTGCAGGGAGAGGAAAAGGCATTAAAAAGGAATTTCCTCCCCAAAGTTGAAGTTGCCCAATCCCAGTCTCGTGCTCCTCTTGATCATACAGTCAGGCCTCCACATTTGCTGCGGTTAGGGGCATAGGACCCCAATAAAAGTGGAAACAAAACTGCCTCTCTATATAAATAAAAACGTAAGGTTCGTTTGTGGGATTAACATAACTCAAAAACCACTGGACGAATTGACACCAAATTTGGACAGCATACACCTAACAACCCAATGTATGTCCTTCTCTCAAGAAATTTTGATTTTGTCATTTGGGAGTTGTAGTTGCTAGGATTTATAGTTCACCTACAATCAAAGAGCATTCTGAACTCCACCAAGTATGGAATTGAACCAAACGTGGCATACAGGACTCCCATGACAAACAGGAAATACTGGAAGGGTTTGGTAGGCAGTGTCCTTTGGTTTTGGAGTTGTAGTTCACCTACATCCAGAGATCACTGTGGACTCAAACAATGATGGATCTGGACCAAACTTGGCACAAATACTCAATACGCCCAAATGTAAACACTGGTGGAGTTTTGGGAGAATAGAATATTGACATTTGGGAGTTGTGGTTGCCAGGATTTATAGTTCACCTACAATCACAGAGCATTCTGAACCCCACCAACGATGGAATTGGGCCAAACCTCCCACACAGAACCCCCATGACCACCAGAGTGGGCCACAGCAACACGTGGCAGGGGACGGCTAGTTTAAGAAAAGACTGTCCAACTCTGATTAAACTATTATTCTAACGTCTTGAATGTAAATGTATTTATGTATCCTTCCAATAATAATGAGAATAAAATAATAAATGCAATAATAATAATAATAATAATAATAATAATAATAACGTAAAATAATAAATAACTTTGACTCGAGCATAAGCCAAGGGGGACTTTTTCAGCCTTAAAAAAGGACTCCAAAACTAGACTTATACTCGAGTCAAAGTTATTTATTATTTTACATTATTATTATTATTATTATTATTATTATTATTATTATTATTATTATTATTACATTTATTATTTTATTCTCATTATTATTGTGGGATTCTGGGTGCTACAATCCAATAACATCTGACGGGGCATATGATTAAGATCTCTGCCTTCAGGGGCTCAAGGAATGGCAACAATAGGATTGGGGCCCAATCTAGCCCACGGATCACAAGATTTCTTCCCTTCTCTTTGGCTTCTCTTTCTTACTGCTTCTGAACGGTTTTCCAGAATGTTTCTGACTTTCTTCTTTGCTTTAAATCCCTTCTGAAAGAACACAACATGGCTGGCACTAAAGAAATAAAACTGATAAAGGGGCCCATCTCACCGCATTGATCTCCCCCACATCCCACGAAGTCCGCTGCCCTGATTTCACTTACCCGTAAAGGAAGTAAAGTGACTTTCAAGAGGCTGAATTACACCTATGGAACACAAAGCACAGAAAATCAAATTCCAGAAAACTTCCACAAGCCATTTAATAAAAGGGGGGGGGGGGGACATAGCAAATAATGCCACAGGCAAATAAATATTACAATTTGGAAAACTTTAAAAAAAACAACAGAATGGTTGGCTCCCCATATCCACGGATTCTGCATTCACAGAGTACATTATCTGTTGGAGATAGAAACCTTTTCAAGCCTTCACTAGTTATTTGTTTATTTGTTGTTGTTCATTCGTTCAGTCGTCTCCGACTCTTCGTGACCTCATGGACCAGCCCACGCCAGAGCTCCCTGTCGGCCGTTACCACCCCCAGCTCCCAGGTCAGTCCAGTCACTTCAAGGATGCCATCCATCCATCTTGCCCTTGGTCGGCCCCTCTTCCTTTTGCCTTCCACTTTCCCCAGCATAATTGTCTTCTCTAGGCTTTCCTGTCTCCTCATGATGTGGCCAAAGGACTTCAACTTTGTCTCTAGTATCTTTCCCTCCAGTGAGCAGTCGGGCTTTATTTCCTGGAGGATGGACTGGTTGGATCTTCTCGCAGTCCAAGGCACTCTCAGAACTTTCCTCCAACACCACAGCTCAAAAGCCTCGATCTTCCTTCGCTCAGCCTTCCCTAAGGTCCAGCTCTCACATCCGTAGGTGACTACAGGGAATACCATGGCTTTGACTAGGCGGATCTTTGTTGCCAGTTCTGATGTCTCTACTCTTTACTATTTTATCGAGATTGGACATTGCTCTCCTCCCAAGAAGTAAGCGTCTTCTGATTTCCTGGCTACAGTCTGCATCTGCAGTAATATTTGCACCTAGAAATACAAAGTCTGTCACGGCCTCCACGGTTTCTCCCTCTATTTTCCAGTTGTCAATCATTCTTGTTGCCATAATCTTGGTTTTTTTGACGTTTAGCTGCAACCCGGCTTTTGCGCTTTCTTCTTTCACCTTGATTAGAAGGCTCCTCAGTTCCTCCTCGCTTTCGGCCATCAGGGTGGTGTCATCTGCATATCTGAGGTTGTTAATGTTTCTTCCAGCAATTTTCACCCCAGCTTTGCATTCATACATATATTATATATGTGTGTGTTTGTTTGCAGCTTTCCTTTGGCTCTTTGTTGTGGGAGGGGCTGCAGACCATGTGATCAGGTCTGGGCTTGTTCAGGACTCAGACTCCATTTTAGAAACAGTTTTGCTTTATATAGATATGTGTGTGTGTGTGTGTGTGTGTGTGTGTGTTTACAAGCATTACCAGATACATTACCAGATATAATGTATTTACATACATTACCAGATACAGTTCACACTGGCAATGAAGATCCGCATAGGTAAAGCAATGGTATTCCCCATAGTCACCTATGGATGTGAGAGATGGACCATAGGGAAGGCTGAGCGAAGGAAGAGAGATGCTTTTGAACTGTGGTGCTGGAGGAAAGTTCTGAGAGTGCCTTGGACTGCGAGAAGGTCCAACCAGTCCATACTTCAAGAAATAAAGCCTGACTGCTCATTGGAGGGAAGGATAGTAGAGGCAAAGATGAAGTACTTTTGACACATCATTTGACGAAAGTAAAGCTTAGAGAAGACAATCATGCTGGGGAAAATGGAAGGAAAAAGGAAGAGAGGCCAACCAAGGGCAAGATGGATGGATGGTATCCTTGAAATGACTGGATTGACCTTGAAGGAGCTGGGGGTGGTGAGGGCCGACAGGGACCTCTGGCATGGGCTGGTCCATGTGGTCACGAAGAGTTGGAAATGAGTGAATGAATGAACAACAACAACCAGATACAGTGTAAACAGAACACAAAACAATGAACATTTTACAAACACATAACCCCACCACCAAGGCCTAAAGAAGTATAATTTCCTTTGCCTTAAATTTACGAGCAACTAATTAACAAATGTAATATTCAAACTTCCAAAACAATTGCTCTAGACTTCAGTAATACTACATGCAATATAAAATATATATGTACTATTACTAATAATGTTACAGTATAGTGGTATAGTAAAAAAGGTAAAGGTAGTCCCCTGACATTAAGTCCAGTTATGGGGTGTGATGCTCATCTCCATTTCTAAGCCGAAGAGCCAGCGTTGTCCGTAGACACCTCCAAGGTCATGTGGCTGGCATGACTGCATGGAGCGCCGTTACCTTCCCGCCGGAGCGGTACCTATCGATCTACTCACATTTGCATGTTTTCGAACTGCTAGGTTGGCAGAAGCTAGGGCTGACAGCGGAAGCTCACGCCGCTCCCCAGAATCGAACCTACGACCTTTCGATCAACAAGCTCAGCAGCTCAGTGCTTTAACCTACTGCGCCACCAGGGGCTCCCTAGTGGTATAGTACAATATAGTAAAATATAATACTAATATTGTGCTGTGCTAATAATATAATATATTGTATACATATATCATATTGATATTATAATGTAATACAATGTAGTAATATATAATACTAATATTGTGCTATGCTAATAGTATATTATATTGTATGTACATGTGCTGTCATACCCAGACACTGTAAAGTTAAAACTAAGATATGCTTCTCTCTTTATCTGGGCGAACTGCTGGGGGTCTTTCTTTGAAGCAATAACTCAATACTTTCATGCCAGTTAAGGTATGAAAATCAACAAAATATTTATTTCCAAAGTCCTTGGCAGACTTGGCACAGCTTGATAAAGTTACAACACAGTCAATTTGAGAAACCATAGAGATGTTCTTTCTTTCCCTTTTTCTTCAATTACTGAGGTAACCTTTCTCCAAATGGTAGAAAAAATCCTGAGATATTTCACCCTAACCCTGAGCCGCTTTGGTTAGAAAGAACAGGTCTTCCTCTATCTAAGCACAAGGTCAGTTTTGGAGATGAAGTAATGCTCAATAGTACTCAATAACTATTTCTCTCTATTTTTCAATAACTCAATTACTATCTCAATATCTCAATATCTCTCTCTATATAACTCAATAAGCTTCTCTATGTCAATTGCTATTCTGTCTATCTCAATTGTACTCACAATGGGTTTTTCAGAGCTCCCTGCCTGACCAACAGCACATCTGAGGTTCTTTTCTCTACTGAAGGAGGCAGGGAAGATTCCAAAATGGAGATCTCAACCCCAGGAAAAAAGGTGGACTCCAAACCCAAAGAGATACTATCTAAACCAGTAACTGCAGAAGGCCTGCAGCCTGGCTTTCCAGACTCTGATACTGTTTAACTTCCAGGGTGTTGCTGGGTCTATAGCAACCCTGGGGAAGTGCAAAGGAATGCTATCCCATGCAGCTAAAAGGCAATGTAAACCATGCTCCTGGAAGACGGAACAGTACATATAGCTTGTAAGCTGCTCTGAGTCCCCTTCGGGGTGAGAAGGGCGGCATGTAAATGTTATAAATAAATAAATAAAGATAAACTGTTTCATGTACCAAAATATTTAAAATGACAACTATGTGGATATGAAAATTACATGCATTTCTTGTATAGATTTGGGTCCCATCTCAAAATATCTCATTATGTCCCTATATGTACCTATATACATAGTGCTAGAAACAATATCATACGAAAGCTGACTGGCACAACCTGGGGATCACAACCAGATATAGTGAAGACATCTGCCCTTGTGCTGTGCTACTCTGCTGCTGAGTATGCATGCCCAGTGTGAAACACATCTCACCACACTAAAACAATGGATGTGGCTCTTAATGAGGCATGCCGCATTATCACGGGGTGTCTGCACTCTACACCACTAGAGAAATTACACTGCTTAGCCGGTATTGCACCACCTGATATCCGCTGGGAAGTAGCAGCTAATAGTGAAAGGACCAAGGCAGAGACATCTCCAGCTCATCCCCTGATCTACAGAGACACTCGCTGGAACACCTAAGCAAGCGGGAGTCCAAAAGTGGCAGGCAAACCCAGAACCTCAACCAATGGCTGATACCAAATGAGAGACTCCTCCCTGGGCACACAGAGGACTGGGCGACTTGGAAGGCGCTGAACAGACTGCTCTGGCACCACAAGATGCAGAGCCAACCTTCAGAAATGGGGCTACAAAGTGGAATCCACGACATGCGAGTGTGGAGAAGAGCAAACCACTGACCACCTGCTGCAATGCAACCTGAGCCCTGCCACATGCACAATGGAGGACCTTCTTGCAGCAACACCAGAGGCACTACAAGTGGCCAGATACTGGTCAAAGGACATTTAATCAACTACCAAACTCGCAAATTTTGTATTTTGTCTGTTTGTTTGCTTTGTTCTGTTAGAAATGTAATATAATTGACTGGTTGCCCTGACATCAAAAAAACCAAGATTATGGCAACAAGAATGATTGACAACTGGAAAATAGAGGGAGAAACCGTGGAGGCAGTGACAGACTTTGTATTTCTAGGTGCAAAGATTACTGCAGATGCAGACTGTGGCCAGGAAATCAGACGACGCTTACTTCTTGGGAGGAGAGCAATGTCCAATCTCGATAAAATAGTTAAGAGTAGAGACATCACACTGGCAACAAAGATCCGCCTAGTCAAAGCCATGGTATTCCCTGTAGTAACCTACGGATGTGAGAGCTGGACCTTAGGAAGGCTGAGCGAAGGAAGATCGATGCTTTTGAGCTGGGGTGTTGGAGGAAAGTTCTGAGAGTGCCTTGGACTGCGAGAAGATCCAACCAGTCCATCCTCCAGGAAATAAAGCCCGACTGCTCACTGGAGGGAAGGATACTAGAGACAAAGTTGAAGTACTTTGGCCACATCATGAGGAGATAGGAAAGCCTAGAGAAAACAATCATGCTGGGGAAAATGGAAGGAAAAAGGCAGAGGGGCTGACGAAGGGCAAGATAGATGGATGGTATCCTTGAAGTGACTGGATTGACCTTGAAGGAGCTGGGGGTGGTGGCCGACAGGGAGCTCTGGCGTGGGCTGGTCCATGAGGTCACGAAGAGTCGGAAGTGACTGAACGAATGAACAACAAACCTATATGCAAATATAGGTAATCAAAAATCCTGGGGGGGGGGGGGAGAAACCCAAAACACTTATAAGTCCAAGCCTTTTGGATAATAGATACTAAACATGTTCCTCGCCCTCTAAGTTTGTTGCTTAACTTGGTCTACAACAGGCATGGGCAAGCTTGGGCCCTCCAGGTGTTTTGGACTTCAACTCCCACAATTCCTAACATCCTACCGGGCCCAGGTTTGCCCATGCCTGGTCTAAAATTTCAGAAAAGTCATTTATGATTGTTATTCTTTTAATACATTTTGAGACAGAGTCTCCTTTTGAAAGGTAACATTACGAGTAACAGGAAATTTTATCCCATTGTCACTATTCATTATTTCACTTTTCATATATACCTTGATTACATTCATAATATTACATTAAAAAGGAGTTGAAAATTCTTTACCATGGCTTTGAATAGTGTTTTATTTCTTGTTGTAATGATGATGTATCCTGTCTTGAACCGCAAGGAGAGGTGGGTATTAAACTCATTATTATTGTTATTATTTTACTTTTGAAGTGCTGCAATCACTTCCTGAGAATACATAAAATGCTTATTTTTTAGCAGATATGCCTAAATCCTGTTTATAAATCCTTAAGACAAAGTGCAAATGAATAAATGTATAAGTGTGAAGAATGGTCCTGTGCCTTCCTTGCTGTAGGGTGATGGGTATTGTAGTCCTTCATCATTTGGAAAACTGAGCCAGCAAGGAAAAGGCTGGATTCCTCCAATGAGTCACAAACACCGGATGTTTGAGCCCAGGTTCATAATGGCAGTGCTTACGTCAATTCTCAACTATGCACCTGTGTGTTCAAACCATTTTTAGAAGTTAGTGTTGTGTTAAGTCAGTGTGGTCAGTTGTGTTGTGTATTGTAGTCTGTTGTGTTTAGGTTGAGTTCTGTTTGCATTGAGAGAGTATGCATTAGACATAAGACAGAGAAGAAACTGAAACAGAATGCCTTAGAGAACGTACTGTTTACACTTTCTACTGATAAGCAATGTACTTGTATGCTGAATACATGAAGTTTATAAGTAAACCAACTATGTTATTTTTAATGAAGACTACTTATTTTTGTCTCTTGAGAGCATGACTTATAACCAAGTACATTTTATGAGAGAGTAGATGTTTTTGGGCAACTGAAATAACACTTCTGAAGATCTGCCATATATTTTGTGCATTGGCATTATATTTGTTCCTAACAGTTCAAAGTGATAACCAGGTATATCAGTCTAACAACTGAGAAACCTAATTTGCCTTGAATGAATACTGGTGGATATATACTTTTGAAAAATGTGAATCTCCATAACCATTTGGGAAATGGGTTTCATAACCTTTTGGAAAAACCACTGGTCACAAATACACACACACACACACACATACATATTCAGCAGACCTTCAGTGTTCAGTGTTCTTTTTAATTGCCCCGAAACATCTACTCTCCCTTATAATATATTTGCATTTACATCATGCTCTCAAAAGACAAAAATAAGTAGACTTCTTTAAAAGTAACATAGTTGCTTTACTCACAAACTTCATGTATTCAGCTTACAGATACTTTGCCCATCAATCCAGTTACAAGCAGATTTGAAGTAATTTCTCTGTGTAGGTAATACAGGGCATCATTCTTAGACTCAATAGTCCATAGTCCAGAGCATCTCTTTGTTTTGAGAGTCTCATAGAGTCTCTGTCTAGTCTGAAAGTCCAAAGGTGGTCTCTAAGCATACATCTTACTAAAGTCTAAACTGAACTGTTCCTGCAGTTTTCTAAAGGCATACACCTCCACTGAATTATAAAACAATCTTCTGCTCCTACGGCTTTCCAAAGCAAAGTCTGTTCTAAAATGGAGTCTGAGTCATGAACATGCCCAGTTCTGATCTCATGGTCTGCAGCCCTTCCCACAACAAAGAGTGTAGGTCAAACTGCATACCAATACACACATATACAATATAGTAAGCAATTATACACATAACACATAACTAGTGGAGGCTTGAGAAGGTTTAGTCGAAGGCTTTCATGGCTGGAATCACTAGGTTCTTGTAGGTTTTTTCGGGCTATAGGGCCATGTTCTAGAGGCATTTCTCCTGATGTTTCGCCTGCATCTATGGCAAGCATCCTCAGAGGTAGTGAGGTCTGTTGGAATTAGGACAATGGGTTTATATATCTGTGGAATGGCTGGGGTGGGGCAAAGAGCTCTTCTCTGCTGGAGCTAGGTGTGAATGTTTCAACTGACCACCTTCATTAGCATTTGAAGGCCTGGCTGAGCCTGGGAAAATCTTTCATTGAGAGGTGTTAAGATGTGCCTGGTTGTTTCCTCTCTGTTGTTTTGCTGTTGTAATACACCTCTCAACAGAACATTTTCCCAGGCTCAGCCAGGCCTTCAAATGCTAATGAAGGTGGTCAGCTGAAACATTCACACCTAGCTTCAGCAGAGAGCTCTCTGCCCCACCCCAGTCATTCCACAGATATATAAACCCATTGTCCTAATTCCAACAGACCTCACTACCTCTGAGGATGCTTGCCATAGATGCAGGCGAAACGTCAGGAGAAATGCCTCTAGAACATGGCCCTATAGCCCGAAAAAACCTACAAGAACCTACTTGAGAAGGTTGCTATTTCCAACATATACTATTAAAGAGAAGAGCATCTCTCTGTTTTGAGAGTCTAATAGAGTCTCTGTCCAGCCTGAAAGTCCAATGGAGTCTCTAAGCATACATCTTACTCAAGTCTAAACTTAACTGTTCCTGGCATCTTCTAAAGGCATACACCTCCACTAATTCTAAAACAAACTACTGTTCTTACTGGCTGCCCAAAGCAAACACTGTTCTAAAATGGAGTCTGAGTCCTGAACATGCCCAGTTCTGATTACATGGAATGCAGCCCCTCCCACAACAAAGAGTTACGGTATTCAAAGTGAATACCAATACACACATATACAATAAAGAAAGCAATTATTCACATAACAAATACCTAATGGAGGTTTGGGGAGGTTGCTATTTCCTGCAGTCTTCTCTTTCCTGCAGTCTTCTAAAGGCAAACACTTCCACTGAATTCTAAAACAAACTACTGTTCCTACTGGCTTCCCAAAGCAATCACTGTTCTAAAAAGGAGTCTGAGTCCTGAACATGCTCAGTTCTGATCACATGGTATGCAGCCCCTCCCACAACAAAGAGTTACAGTCAAACTGAATACCAATACACACATATACAATACAGTAAACAATTCCAGACATAACAAATAACTAAAAACGAGTCTGAGTCCTGAACATGCCCAGTTTCGATCACATGGACTGCAGCCCCTCCCACAACAAGAGTTAAGGTCAAATTGCATACCAAAGCACACATATACAATAGAGTGAGCAATTATATACATAACAACTAACTAATGGAGGCTTGAGAGGGTTGCTATTTCCAACATATACCACTTTAGCTCTTCTCGGGAAGATCAGACTTTACAAAAAAGGTTATGATCATTATCATTCCAAATGGTGTGAATGCCAATTAATCGCCAAAATTATTGTTGAAGGCTTTTATGGCCAGAATCACTGGGTTAGTGTGAGTTTTGGGAGCTCACTTCAAGGATGCTAGATTGGCCTTGAAGGAGCTGGGGGTGGTGACGGCCGACAGGGAGCTCTGGCGTGGGCTGGTCCATGAGGTCGCGAAGAGTCAGAGTCGACTGAACGAATGAACAACAACAACATGGCCATGTTCCAGAAGCATTCTCTCCTGATGTTTTGACTACAACCTCTGAGGATGTGAGTTTTGGGAGCTGTATGGCCATGTTGGATGGATGGCATCCTTGAAGTGACTGGATTGGCCTTGAAGGAGCTGGGAGTGGTGACGGCTGACAGGGAGCTCTGGTGTGGGCTGGTCCATGAGGTCACAAAGAGTCGGGAGTTGACTGAACCATTTTCCAGAAGCATTCCCTCCTGATGTTTCGACTACAACCTCTGAGGATGTCTGCCATAGATGCAGGCCAAACGTCAGGAGAGAATGCTTCAGGAACATGGCCATACAGCCTAGAAAACTCACAACAACCCAATCTCCAAAAGTCTATGGAGATTCCTGGTTTTCCAGAAGGTTGTGATCTCAAAGGCCATCCTTCTCCAAAATCAATGCCCATTTCTCCCACCCAGAAACATACCGAGTGGGGTCTTTTGGGGGGTCCCCTAAAGGTGTTCTCCCCACCCATCATTCCATTGCACCAAATCCTTTTCTCTTACCCAAAAGGACGATGGCCAGTCTCCACATCTTGGCGCCTGCGTGCTGAGCTCCAAGGGGGCCAACACCAAGGAGGCCCCGTCGCCCCTTTGCCGCGTGGGTGGGTGGGTGAGTCTCCTCACCTTCTTCCCTTGGGGGGAGGCGATCCCCTTTCCCTTGCCAAGAGGCCTTTCCCCCCAACGCTGGATTGGAAGGAGAGCATACAAGGAAGGGAACCCACTTCCTGCGTGGAAAGTGGGCGAGCCCACGCCTGCTTTCCCTTCCTCTTCTCCTCCCTCGTTAGCCTTCCATTTCCTCGATCTCCTCCCTTTTCCTTCGGCTTTTTCCCAGGCCCAATGGTTCCTTCCTTCCTCTTCCTTTGCCTTTGGATTTCCTTCCTTGTTTTGCAAAGAGTCGCAGGTCTGTCTCCTCCCCCCTTCTCTCGCTTCCTCCTTTTGCTTCTCTCTCTCTTCCCTCCCCCTTCCTTTTTTGTCTCCTCCTCCTCCTCCTTGGAAACTTTGTCTCCTTCTCTCACTTCCTGCCTTTGCAACTTTGTCAGCCCGACCTCCCTTTTTTTTTGACGTGTTCACGGGTTCACACGCACACACGCGTGCAAAACCCGGGTTAACCCTTTCCTTGCAAAGCCAGATGTGCATCACCAAGATCAACATCAACATTATTTTCCAACTCTTTTTCTATTGCAGGCCTGGGCAAACTTCGGCCCTGCTCCAGGTGTTTTGGACTACAACTCCCACAATTCCTAAAGCCGGTAGGCTGTTAGGAATTGTGGGAGTTGTAGTCCAAAACACCTGGAGCAGGGCCGAAGTTTGCCCAGGCCTGATCTACATTGTAGATTAAGGAATGCAATTTGGCCCCACCTTAACTACCCCTGCTCAAGGTCATGGAATTCTGGGAGTTGTAGTTTGCTGGGGGGACCCACCAAACTACGTATCCCAGCAGTCCACAGCCCTGGCAGTTAAAGTAGGGCCAAACAGCATTCATTACATTCATGATGCAACCTAGGATTCTTTGGGCCCTATCTCTATCTATCTATCTATCTATCTATCTATCTATCTATCTATCTATCTATCTATCTATCTATCTATCTATCTATCTATCTATCTATCTATCTATCTATCCCAGGAGCTGATCTCTGCTTTAAACCGGATTATATGAGTCCACACTGCCAAATAATCTGGTGTAAACAGAAAACCTGGGATCAGATCCTGGGAGCTCTATCAGGATCTGATCCCTGCTTTAAACCGGATTATATGAGTCCACACTGCCAGATAATCTGGGATAAACAGAAAACCTGGGATCAGATCCTTATATATATATAGAGAGAGAGAGAGCGCTCCTAGGATCTGATCCCAGGTTTTCTGTTTATCCCAGATTATCTGGCAGTGTGGACTCATATAATCTGGGATAAATAGAAAACCTGGTATCAGATCCTGGGAGCTCTCTCTCTCTCTATATATATATAAGGATCTGATCCCTGCTTTAAACAGGATTATATGAATCCACACTGCCAGGTAATCTGGGATAAACAGAAAACCTGGGATCAGATCCTGGGAGCTCTCTCTCTCTCTCTCTCTCTCTCTATCTATATCTATATCTATATCTATCTATATCTATATATATAATAAAAGAGAATGTTTGTATCGGACAGAGGAAGGAGTATGTGGCAGCGTTCTGATTGGCTGCCGCTGCGGTGCTATTTGCATATGGTCTCTGATTGGCCACCTTCAATAGGAGCCCCTGGTGGAGAAGAGGGCTCATGGCAGAAACGGGGCATGACAGAAGGAAATTTGCATATGGTCTCTGATTGGCCAGCCTCAAATCCAACATTCCGAGATGAGAAAGAGAGGAAAGGAAAGGCCGGGGCCTGGGTCAGAACACTCCCAATACAGATCGAAATAGGCACACAGAGCCCCCATCACCCACTCTACATCCTACTGCAGTTTGGAGGAGTATGAACCATGGATGATGGGACTTGCAGTACCACCACTCACATTTTGGGAGCCTGCAAGACTCACTTGACATCCTACTGCAGTTTGGAGGAGGATGAACCATGGATGATGGGACTTGCAGTACCACCACTCACATTCTGAGACCGCTGTTAACCTCATCCAATGACTGATCAGGACCAAACTTGGCACATAGACCTCTCATGACCCACTTTACGTCCTGGTGTGGTTTGGCCGGGGATGGACCATGGATTATGGGACTTGCAGTACCTTTGCTCAATTCTTCAGACCACTGCAACCCTCATCCAATTACCAAAAAATACCAAACTTGGCACACTGAGTCTCCATGACGCACTCTACATCCAGGTGCAGTTTGGAGGAGGATGCACCATGGACGAGATGGGACTTGCAATACCTGCACTCCCTTCCTAAGACCATTATAACTGCCAACAATGATGGATCAGGACCACAATTTACACAGAGAGTCCGCATAACTCACTCTACATCCTGGTGCGGTTTGGAAGAATTTGACAATGGATGATGGGACTTGCAGTCACTTCACTCACTTCCTGAGACCACTGAGACCCACGCCAATGACTCATCAAGACTAAACTTGGCACATGGAGCTTCAATGACCCACTCTACATCCTGGAGCACTTTGGAGGACGACAGACCATGGATGATGGGACTTCAAGTACCTCCACTCCCTTCCCAAGATTGCTGCAACCCTCATCTAATGACCAATCAAGACCAAACCTGGCACACACAGCCCCCATGACCCACCCTACATCCCAGTCCTGATGGAAGGATGGACGATGGATGATGGGACTTGCAGTACGTTCACTCACTTCCTGAAACCATAGCGACACTCATTCAAAAACCAATAAAGACCAAACTTGGAACATAGAGCCCCCATGGCCAACTCAACATTCTGGTGAGGTTTGGGGGAGTACAGACTATGGATGATGGGACTTCAAGTACCGCCACTCACTTCCCAAGACCTCTGCAACACTCATCTAATGACTGATCAAGTCCAAACTTGGCACACAAAACCCCCATGACCCACTCTCCATCCTGGAGCAGTTTGGAGGGGGATGGACCACAGATAATGGGACTCACAGTAACTTCACTAACTTCCTGAGACAACTGCGAGTCATATAAATAACTGATAAAGACCAACCTTGATACACAATTCCTTTCTCAAATAACCCGGGCAGCGCCGGGTCCCCAAGCTAGTATATATATATATGTTAGAGACTGGGAATTTATGGTGACAGGCCCAGAAGGCAAGGGAGGAAATGAGATTCCGATGAGGTTTTTCAACAAGGCTTTATTTCAAGTTGATCAACATGAGATGAATAGCCTCTTGACCATCCTGGTCAAAGAACAAAGACCATTCACACCTTTGTGGCGTACTTAACAATGTTTTTATATCAAACTTGTAAAAACAACACGTAAGCAACTTCTGATTGGTTGTTTTGTTTCTACCATTACAGCATATTCATATTTCTGTTGAATGTGTGACCCTGAGCTGTAATTTTACCTATCTGTAAGCTTGCTTATCCAAGGCAGAAAGAATTTGTGGGAGTATGGGAGTATATCTGCTTGTGTGGAACACAGGCAATTATTTTTTCCTATCAGCTGGAGCTGTTGGCAAGCAAAAGCTCTCTCAATAGACAGGGATTCTGGGTCTCAGTAGACAGGGATTCTGGGACTTGTAATAATTGGAAATTTATTTTTCTTAATCACGTTCATTCATATATATATATATATATATATATATATATATGTGTGTGTGTGTGTGTGTGTGTGTGTGTGTGTGTGTGTATATGTATATGTATACCTGCTTTAAACCGGATTATATGAATCCACACTGCCAGGTAATCTGGGATAAACAGAAAACCTGGTATCAGATCCTGGGAGCTCTCTCTCTCTCTCTCTCTCTCTCTATATATATATATATATATATCAGGATCTGATCCCTGCTTTAAACCGGATTATATGAATCCACACTGCCAAATAATCTGGGGTAAACAGAAAACCTGGGATCAGATCCTGGGAGCGCTCTCTCTCTCTCTCTCTCTCTCTCTATATATATATATATGGATCTGATCCCTGCTTTAAACCGGATTATATGAGTCCACACTGCCAGATAATCTGGGATAAGCATAAAACCTGGGATCAGATCCTGGGAGCTATCTATCTATCTATTTATCTATCTATCTATGGCCTTATATATATAGGGCCTGTTTGGAAAGGCGCTGTGTGATCCTCTTTGTTATGATTGCGTATGATTTTCTTCCTCTTTGTGTACACTCTCTGCAAAGAATTATGGGTCGCTGGCCCTTTAAGGCTTTGAAGCCCTCCCCTTTCCTCTCGCAAGGCTTCCTCATCGGCCGGGATTTGGCGCCACCTGCCGGCTGCGGCGGGATTTAGCAAGTCGAGCCAAAAAAGAAAATAGAAAGGGAAAATAAAAAGCACAAATAATTATCAGGCCTCAAATTGCAGCTTTCCAAAATTGCTTGCTCAAGCTGCAAGCTTGCATTCCTCGCCAATGTATTCCTGTTTCCCAGTGTTAACTTTTCCCTTTTAGGAGTCCCAAGGCATGAGATTGGTTCAGCCCTGCAGCTGGTTTTGGACTATCTCTCCCATCATTCCATGCTGGTTGGGAATAATGGGAGATGTAGTCCAGCAACAGCTGGACCTCCCAACAAAGGATTCCCCCAGGCAGGAAGCAGCCAAGCTTTGGAGCTGCAAGGCTATTCAATGCTAATCAAGGTGGGCGATGGCAACATTCACACCTGCCTCAAGCAGACAAGAGTTCTTTCTCCCATTCCACAGATACATTGAACATGGAGAAAACTAAAGTGCTCTTTCAGCAGTCACGAACCGATCCATCTGCAATGCCAGTAATACAGCTTAATGGTGCGACATTAGAAAATATTTACCACTTCCGCTACCTTGGCAACCACCTCTCCACAAAAGTCAACATTGACACTGAAATACAACACTTCCTGAGCTCTGCGAGTGCAGCATTTTTCTGAATGATGCACAGAGTGTTTGAGGACAAGGACGTCTGTAGGGATACCAAGGTGCTTGTTTATAAAGCTACTAGCTGTCCCCTGCCATGCATTGCTGTGGCCCACATGGGGGTTCTGTGTGGGAGGTTTGGCCCAATTCGTTGGTGGGGTTCAGAATGCTCTGTGATCATAGGTGAACTATAAATCCCAGCAACTACAACTCCCAAATGTCAAGATTCTATTTCCCCCAAACTCCATCAGTATTCACATCTGGGCATATTGAGTATTCATGTAGAGTTTGGTCCAGATCCATCATTGTTTGAGTCCACAGTGATCTCTGGATGTAGGTGAACTACAACTCCAAAACCAAAGGACACTGCCCACCAAACCCTTCCAGTATTTTCTGTTGGTCATGGGAGAACTGTGTGCCAAGTTTGGTTCAATTCCATCTTTGGTGGAGTTCAGAATGCTCTTTGATTGTAAGTGAACTATAAATCCCAGCAACTACTACTCCCAAATGACAAAATCAATTTTTTTGAGTGAAGGACATACATTGGGTTGTTAGGTGTATGCTGTCCAAATTTGGTGACAA